CGTACCTGAGCAGGTGTGTTCTCGCTATAACTATAGTATGATATGCCCCCCGAACCTAATTCTAATCATTACGGCCTCTATATTAAGCCTCAGCGACAAATAGCCGACCTTGCTAACAAATAGCCGACCTTGCTAGCTAGGATTCTTTGTAATATTCTTAAACCCTAAACCCTAAACTGTCTTATACAAGTTTTCCAGAAGCTAGGTGATTTTGGGTCCAGGCAAAGTTCAGGATTTAGGGCGACCAGGCGTCTTACAGCTTTTTGAAGGGGCTGTGTAAGGGCTTCTACAAGGATTTCGTACGGCTTTTTTGGGCCTTAGACAGGTTTCATGGGGGGTATAACACCAGAAACCCTAAACCCCAAACCCCGATCAACCACCAAAAACCCAAGCCCTAAACCCTAAACCCTAAACCCTGTTGCCGGCCGGGGAGCCACTCCGGATCAGCGACCTGCTTGTTCTTCAAAGCATCGCTCTCCTTCATTGCCATGAGGTCACCTCGAAGCCAGGGCCCCCCCCCTTAGGGCCTTTAAGGGCCTTTAAGGGCTTTAGTCCTACACCCTAAAGTCTAAACCCTAAACCCTAAACTGAGGGTACTGTGTTACAGATGGCTGACTTAAAGGATTCAAAGCCGTTTCCTACCTTGAGAGCAGAGCTCCTCTTGGCTCGATTAGGGAACCTCGAAGGAGGACGGGTCCACCGGCTTTCGAGTACGGCGTAATTAGGGTTGAACAGAATGCAGGGGCCTAAATAATTATCGAGACTATTTTGGGGGTTCCGAGGATTCCTCAGTATAATGATAGTAGAATGTGGCCCAAAACCCTATTCTAATCATTAAGGCCCCTACTAGAGAACCCTATCGTAGATCCCTTATAGAACCCTTTCAGGATGCCTTGCCCCTACATAAGGGACCTTCACAGTGAGAGAAGAGTCTCGGAAGATCGGTTAGAAGGCTCAGGGTTCAACCTTGGATTACTCTGTAAAGGGGGGGGGTGTACATATAGGCTTCCGCAAGGATTTATCTCCGGCTTCGTCAGGTTTTGTGGGGGGTTCGGGTTCAGAGTGGCGTCAGGGTTCAAAAACTGGACTATAAGCAGGGTTCCGCAATGGTCTAAGGGTAGGGTCAGCTTACGCAGGTATCATCTGTCTGCAAGCCCTGATCCTTTCGAAACACCAGGCGACCAGTACAGTGTCAGTTTCTGTGTTGCACCAATGTCCGAAACTGTTCGAACTGGTCCTACTTGAGACCCTAAATCCTATACCGACTAAACCTTCAAACCGAGACCCGCTACACAGGCAGAACAAGGGAGACTATAGCTATCATGAAATGCATTCGAATTCTTCATGACCATTATACAGGAACTTTGCAGCACAGAATCTAGGCTCCCCAGTAGCCGGTACCCCCCTAGATCATCAGGGTACCCTTTTTCCTACTATCTGGGTTCACTAAGGGAACCAAAAAAAGAAAAATGGCAAAAGTGTACTACTGGGGAACCTAGGAATGGAGTATGTCTTTAGGACCCTGAAAGTGATCTTTAAAACCTTGTAAACCCGGCGTTACAGGGAGCCCTGTCTTAGGTCAGCGCTGAAGCCATAGTGGATGCCGGCTTCTGTCACGTCCATGCCTTGGTGTTGATTGGATGACTCAGGGCCTTACTCAACTCCCCTTTAGAAGGTGTGTAGAAATTCAACTCTTCGTAGATCAATAAAAGATATACCATAATTCCCATAATGTAAGGTCCTTAAGGGAATGCCGGATTTATTTCATTAACAGTATCACCCCCCCCAATAAATGCACATTAACACCTACCCTAGGCCCTTGAAGATTTCAGACGAAGCCCAGAAACTTGGAACATACCTATAGTCTCCTATGTAGTTCCTTTTTGGGGCTACCTTTTAGGATCCCTTAGTATAGAATTGGTTAAACCAAAAAAAGGAACTACAATGGAGACTATAGGTAGTAGGATGATCAGTGCAGGGATCCTCTGCGCTTTACTTTAAGCTGAGGATGATGAGGTGCAACTAAACGCAAAAGCCTGCAACCCCAATGCAGAAACTCCAAAACCAAACCACCACAACAAACCAACAAAACTCTAAATCAGCTGTGTAGGCTCAAATTGGGATCAAATTAAAGGCTCCACAGCTTAAGGCTCAGAGGATTTTATGGCCTTCATACACATATATGCATATATATATATATATAGAGAGAGAGAGAGAGCGATTGCATAACACCAGCTGACAAATCAGAACAAGGAGGGTTCAATGCGATATAAGTTTGTAGGGAGTTGTAAGGGAACCTTGCGATGATTGAAAAAAATCTCGCGGATGACCAGCCGCCAAGAAGTGCACTAAACCCCTAATCGTGAACTCGAACCCCCGAAACCATCACCCCTCAACTAAAACCCCAAACCCTAAACCTTGGGAGCTTAATTTGGGGTATAGAACGTTGAACCGAAATTAACGGAGCTCCGGATTTCAGGGTCCCCTCCCGTTGTAGATGAGCTCCGTGCCCAAGAAGTTGGGTCTCACCTGCAGGCGCTGGTTGGCCACCACCTGCAAATGAGGGCTTAGGGCTTAGGGTTAGGGGTACTTACGAGGGCTACGAGAAGGGATACGTACATCGAAGGATCACTTTCAGGTTTCAGGGTTTGGGGTTCAAGGTGTTGAAAGGTCATTGAATTCCGCATCCTCATGCGTTCGGGGTTTATGCTGGGGATCTTCTTTGCTTGTAATGTAGAAGCCTTGACAATTAGAACAGGGTTTTGGGATATATTATACCATAACTATACTAAGGAACCCCCAAAATAGCTTTGGTAATTATTAAGGCCTGTATAGTAGGCATCTCTGATCTCGTCTTGTCTTTAGGATCAGGGTTTGCGGTTTAGGGTTTGGGGGTTAGGGGTTCAGGGTTTAGGGCTTCGTTGTGGCTTTAGGTGGGGTTGCTTGCTGAAGGCTGGGTGGTTTTAACGTTGTAAATGGGGCCGACAACTGAAACTGTGGGTTGCCCTGCACCCGACACCCTAAGTACACTACACCCCGAACTCCACTTACTGCCCCTTCAGGGATATGTTTATATGAAAGGTACCCCTATAAGCTATATAAGCTATATTATCTGAATAAGCTGTATTATTTCAAGCTGGTTGGCCGCATGTTTCCATTGTGGGGCCTGCAAAAGACACCAAAGGTATTAATCCCTATAGAACCCGTATTGCTTCAAAACCTAGCCCGTCGCAAAAAACAAAGAGACTGTAGATCCCAACACCCCGAAACCTATTACCCGAAACCTAGCCCCGTAAACTGCACTTTATAACCCAAACCTAACCCCTTAAAACCCGCCTAGACCCCCCGAAACATATTACCCGAAACCTCGCCCCTTAAACTGCACTTTATACTCCAAACCTAACCCCTTAAAACCGGCCTAGAACCCCCAAGCTAGCCCCTAGAAAACCGCTACAGGTAGAAACCAAAACCTAGCCCTTTAACAAACCCCAGAAACCAAAACCCAAAACCCTAAACCCAAAAACCCCAAACCCTAAGCCCTAAACCCCAAACCCTAAGCCCTAAACCCTCCAAAAACCACACCCCGGCCCCTTAAAGGAGGACCCTATGCGAACCCTACAGGAACCCTATACTATAGAACCTTATACCTGATGTAGTCTCCATTGTAGTTCCTTTTTTGGGGGATACCTTATAACTTCCTGAAGATATATTTGGTTGAACCAAAAAAGGAACTACAATGGAGACTATAGGTAAACCCTAAACCCTGAAACCCAAAATTTCAACCCTAAACCCTAAACCCTGAAACCCTAAACCCTAAACCCAAACCCTAAACCCTAAACCCTAAACAATGAACCCTAAACCCTAAACCCTGAAACCCTAAACCCTAAACCCTATTCTAGAACCCTACAGTACCCTCAAAAGGCAGAAAAGTCCCTGCAGGCGGCACCGGGAAGGCCCAGCCGAAGAGCTCAAGCTTCTCGAACTCGTGCTGCTGGAAAAGCCTCGCTGGCTTTCCCTAAGGCTCAACACGGCCCCAAAAGCACAATATATAGATAGATGGCCAGATAGATCGATAGATAGATAGACAGATAGATAGATAGATAGATTAGATAGATTAGTAGGCTATAAATTGGATAGAAAGGATAGGTTAGAAAGGTTAGATACATTAGATATACCAGATATGTAGATTAGATAGGTAAGTAGGTAAGTAGATAGATAGGTAGATGGATAGAGAGAGATAGATAGAGAGATAGAGGGATAGAGAGATAGATAGAACGATAGATAGATAGATAGGTAGATAGATAGATAGATAGATAGATGCATAGATAGATAGATAGTATGGTTTTTGGGGCCCCAGAACGCCTTTAAATATGAGAGGGTTTAAGGACTTGGGCTGAGAAGCTTTAGGAGTGTAGGGGTTCAGGGCTTAGGGGTTTAAGGGTTGCGGGCTCTTGGCTTCGGCGTTTGGGTTTAGAGTTTAGGGTCTGGCTTTGATTGGGGTGTAAGTCTGGTCTTAAGGGTTGGGGTTTCGGGAACAGGGATACCAATGCTCAGGACCCTACAGTGAGAAGGCGTTCGTGAATCAGGCATCTACAGCATCACGCGCGGTCCAGCAAACCCTAAACCCTAAACCCCTAAACCCTAAATCCTAAACCCTAAACCCCTGAACCGAACTAAAATCTCCAGCCTGGGCCTGAGTCGGATGCTCCCAGCACAGTAACCCTAAACCCTAAACCCTAAACGCAAAACCCTGAACCCTAAACCCTAAACTCTAAACCCAAAAATCCTAGAAACCTGAAGCCCAAAGCCAGAAACACTAAACCCCAAAAATCCTAGAACCCTGAAGCCGGAAACTCTGAACCCAAATCTTCTCAAAGCCCCTTGGTGGGGAGCTCAGGCGCGAGCCCTGTGTCCAGGTTCGTGACTGTGAGCTGCCGCAAATGAACCTGCGAAGATCGCAGGATGTGAGTTGATTAGGTTTAGGGTTCAGGGTTCAGGGTTCAGGGTTTAGGGTTTAGGGTTTAGGGTTTAGGGTTTAGGGTTTAGGGTTCAGGGCTTAGGATCTCCACGGGGAGCCATCGACAGTACCCTTTTAAGGCAGCACGCACATTGCATCGCACGGGGGACGCTTCAACAAAAAAAGGCTGACGTCCCTTTTCGGTGCCGAAATCGAGGTTTTTGGCTATATGGGCAGAGAAAGTCAAAGCTGGGCATCAGTGAGGTCGGTTTGGGCGTAGGCCTGAGCCAAGATGCAGCACACGTGGAGCGGCCGCCTTAGGTAGGCCTTCATCAATTAACTAAGCTGTTCAGCAACCAATGGGGAAAAGTATAGACTTTCTTGGGTTAGTTATATTATATTTGGAACCAGTACCACCAAAAAAAGTTATAGAAAAATATATACTACTGAACCTCCTAGTTAATGTTTAGAATAAGGTTGCGGAGGGGTGCATTACAGCAGAGCTGAACATGCAGCGTGTGTTGCTTTGTATGGCCTTACACTGGGAATGCTACACTAGCTGCTGGAGCGCCTCTTGTGGATCCAAAGCGTCTACGTACGTCCTAATTATTATAAGATCCTTAAGGGAGGGTGGCTCAAGGGGGGAGGGTCCTAGGGAGCTTTAGGGAACCTAAGGGACTACTAGGGAGAATTGGGGATTACTGGGCTATATACCCCCCATAGAACCCCCTCCATTAAGGATTCCATAAAATTAATCATATACACCCCCACAATACCAACCTACAACACGACTATCTCAGATCCGGGTGCCTCTAAGAATTGCTCAGAACATTACTCCCATGGGCTCCTGTGCCATTGTTAGCATGACAAGGATACTCCGACAGGATACTTCGTTCCGGTTTAAGGCAAGTAACAAAGGAGAATGAAGACAAACGCAGCACCGTCACACTCCATATCCTCCAACCTACAGTGCAAAACACAGAAACCCTGACACCCTGAACCGTAACTCCAAGAACCCTAAACCCTAAACCCTAAACCTGAACCCTAAGCCTGAACCGTAACTCCAAGAAAATAAACCCCAGGAGTCCCTATAGACACGGGGCCTCCTGTGGCTCAGGCCAGGCAATGTTCAACTTCCGGATGGGCGTGGTGCACGTCATGAAGGTGTGGTTGCGGACTGCAACAGCTCTTGGACAAGCTTTGAGCACTTAGTCTGGCACATCTTCAAAGCCTTTTTTCCTTGTATAGGCTTAAGTTCAACACATTGTGGTTCGAGGCTTGCAAAGTTGGGGCGTCGGGCTCCAGGCCGAACTTCGGATATTGCCAGGGTTGCTACCAGGATTACTATCTGGGCAATTATGAAGGAAATCCGGATATGACCTAAAGAACTAGACCAATCGCTCAAACAGACCTCTCAACAAAAAATCTGGTCTTCTATAATACAGTATGCTGCACTTTTCTACACTAACACACGCTATGATATACTGCAGCACAATAAACCGTGCTAAAACCTGCCTTCATGTTGATAGATGTTAGGGTTCGTCTTGAAGATGGACGGCTCATCGGTCATCATTCCTGTCGCGCTGTACCTGGACTTAGGACTTTGTATCTCTGGAGACTCCAATAAACTTGTGGATCAGGACAGATAATGCTGTGAGTTTAGTAAAGTATGTTATAAGAAAGCTGTAGTATTCATAACTAAGGTCCATTGCTCACTTCAGAGGTCGTGGAGCCCGTGAGGAGGCTCTACGATTCTTCAGGTGTTCTTTAGTGATCTACCTATATGGGATCGACAAGAGTTCTGCAGCTTCTATAGTATCGGGCCTTTGGGCTTTGTTGCCTTTTCTGCGGGTGGTGGTGTGCATGAGCGCACAGGGCATTGTATTTCTACTTACGACCCCCGCCCTCCAAAAAACAATCACAACTTCTCATCTAATTGGGGTTTTAAGTACAGTTACCTTAGTTCTAACCCTACTTACTAAATCCCAATCCTTTAAGTACACATCCCCTTTATCCTCGGCCCGAATTCCATGAAGACTCACTCGGGCTCATAGAACTAGATAGGAAGAAGATAGACAAAGCAACTACCGGCAGGAAAATACATAACAGACTCCAGGCATTCACAGCAAAGCAACCGTAAGAATCCTCAATCCCTGAACCTTATTTAGACTTTGAAGTAACCAGGGAGAAAACAAGTATAGACTTTAGTTTCGTAATGGTTCCCTTAAGGAACAGGTCCCAAAACAAAGTATTCAAGTATGGTACTCCAGAACCCAGCCATTACCTGTATATTTAGACTAGCGAGTAGCGTCACCCGCCCACCACCGAAAGGACCTAATCTTGAACGGTTTGGGCTTGAGGGTCATGGGCCCTCAAGCCTTAGCAAAAAACCAACGTTCTGTTTGGGCGGTCACTGTAGACCATCTGCCAGCTCCATAAAACCCCCCCACCACCACCCTGGTTGGTGATTTCGGCGCGAAAGATCGCGGCAAAAAAGTCGAGTGTCCAGGGCTCAGGAACCCTAAACCCCAAACTAGACCCTAAACCCGAAACCCCAAACTAAACCCTAAACCCTAAACCCCAAACTAAACCCTATAAACCCCAAACCCCTCACCCCCGGGTCTGAGTGAAAAGTCCTCTTTAGAGACGACTGCCCCCTACGATACACTCGAACGGGTTTAGGGTGTAGGGTTTAGGGTAAGTCTTAAACCATATGCGGCTCCAGATTCTGCTTAGGGCAGGAAAAGTCGAAACTGTGCTGTGGGTTTCTGCCATGCTGTTTGGGGTGGTCCTCCTCCATCAATGCACCCCTTCCCAACCTTCCCAGAAGGTAAATCCTACGGCGGAGGCCTTCGGGGCAACAAACCCGAACCGCCAGCTCTGAACCTAGGGTTTAGGGTTTAGGGTTTAGGGTTTAGGAATGTAGACCCAGTGGCATTGTCGTCTCCGTCTGCGTCCCATCATCCGTGGTGTTGAAACTTGGACGGCAGTGGCTCGAGGTGGATTTTCGGGACCCTCTAATCTGGGTTGTAGTTTGGGGGCCCTGAAAAGTATTTATGACTAGGTACCTCTTTAGAAACCATAAGGGACATTTAAAGTTTCCCAAATTGTCACCTAGTAATTATTAATTGGCATAGGAGGGTGTAGTCACGGTTTGGGAGAATTCTATACCGTAGCAAGAGCTGGACTACAAGAGAATACTATTGTCACTAGTGCTGGCTTTTAATAGCCCTATGTTGAGCCCAAACCCCATTATCCCCCCCTCCCAAACAAGCGCGAAACTTTGACCCAGAGCCAAAACCCGAAAGCTGTGAGACCTATGTCTTCAACATAAAGCCTCGAATCAGCAAGCTCGAGCATTGAAGCGTGATGACCTGCAATATGGCTTTCATTGCAGTGCCTTCGTTTTGGTTTCTCTGTTCTTTGTAACAGGAACCTAGCATATATTAACAAACGTGTAACCAGCAATAAGGACCTAAACAGAGACTGTAGGACTGTAGGACAACCAAGTGGGAGTTTCAGAAAATAGGGAGTACCGTATTTTGGGGTCCTTATAATAAGGATTCTACTATTAAGGGTACTTTGCTAGGGTCCCCTATTTTCGGAAACCCCCAAGTAGGTCTTGACAGACATCACCTTCAGCATCCTGTGCTTGGGAAGCTAGAAGCAGAGCTCCTACATCCTCAACGAGACCACGGCTGAGTCCAACAGATGAGTACCTAATCCTGAACCCCCTAGTTTAGGGTTTAGGG